CGTAATTCACAATCCTGTAAAAGCACAATATCTCAGATATGACTGGACGCAGTCAAAACCAGCTCTGGCTTCGCCAATGGCTACTGCTGCCTAAGGCCTCCTGCCTTTTTCCAACAAACCAGGAATCGGCTTGATGTTTGTAGTACTCTAAGCACGCCTACTATCTAGACGCTATAAATGTCAATAGCAACGCGGACAACTGCTTCACCGGCAGAAATGTTTTTGGCAACAGGAGTTTAAGTAGTGCACGTCACATAGCCCCAGCATTTTGTCCTACGGAAACGGTGGTTATAGGGGTTTTATGGGTGGGGAATTAGGATAGGCAGTGAAATATACTTCAGTGATTGCTAGATGCCTTTTTTATTTCAATGTATATAGACATGTTGTTAATTTATATCTGTAGATTTTTCTAATCTGCATCATCGTTTAACGCAGATTTCTCGAAATTCCTGAAAAAATAGAAGCAGTGGTTAGGAGATCGTCTACTTCAACTTACCTGAGGTCCAAGCTACCGTTCTGCAGTTAGATTAGTATGGTTTGCTGCGCGAAGCCCCGCGCACACTTTCAATTAACATTCGGAACAACTTACTCTTAGTGGCCGTGGGAAGCAAATTCGACTACATTTTTTTCACCTTACACTTACTTCTAAAAATTTCCTTTCCCGCCTATCCTATTTTCCCACCCCAAAACTCCTAGAACCACCGTTTTCGTAGGACAGAATGCCGGGATTAGGGATATATGAGGTGCACTACTTAAACTAACTTTGCCATGTTTTTCACTGATCCGCCAACTTTTTAGCGAACAGCTAGGTTCGTGACCAACTTCGACTCTTATTTACTAAACGCATTTTAGTGACTCCGATTTCCCCTAAGCTGAAAAGTGCTAGTCCTGTCAGAAGTTGGAAAGCACGCGTAATTGGAGAGCACTGAGCGGTTGCTAAAACACTTTCGGGCAAATATTGCTGGGTCATTTATTTTCTCGTCTTTCCCATACAGTTCCAGTTTGATTAGGGGCGAAAATATCCCTCATGATTTACACTGTGTAGAAGAGTCTTCTTCCGATTATCTGTAGAAATGCGACGTTTTACTTCGTTGAACTGCTGTTGGGCAGTTTATTTGCCAAGTAGAAATAATACGAATATATGTGATTCACCGATCTAGTAGAGGAACAATTGAGTTCCACTTTGCCCAGGAGCTCACAATGTGAACCAGTCAGGCAGTCACGTAGTGACTATGAGGATATGATGACCAAATGGATCCGACAAAGCAAAGGGAGGCTGGAATGGCCATTTCTGGCTCGTTAGCCGTCATCAGCCAGTCATATCCAATCTCAAGAGTTAGAACCCCCGAGATTTGAACCCGGGATCTTTGGTCAATGAGTTCAATAATCTACCACGGTATCACGGGCTCCTTGATTTGTCGATTGAGATCGGGAATATAATGAATATATTTGCTTCGCCGATCTAGTAAAGGAACAATTAAGTTCCGCTTTTTTTAGTTGACCCAATTGTGAAAAAACTCGCGGCATTCGGCGGGATTCG